GCAGACCCTCATCAGCATCATCAATGGATTGCAGCCTCCAACACCGCCAAGTATGGCCATCAAGTATCGGACTGAAGTTTTGCCTATAGAGGATATGCTGGCTTCATTTTCTGGGGACGCTTTCACCATGGATTCACCACCTGACCATGCAGAAATTCCAGAAGCTCCTGCTATTGTTGAACACCATGACGGAGGGCCACGCATAGAAGACGAGCTTGAGTATGTGAGCGACTTCTATCCAGTGAAGTCAGGGCCAGAAAACCGGTTCCCGAATGAGAACGCAATGCCATCCGAGTCGAATGATCTTTTGGACAGTTTCCATTCGCAGTACTATGTATCATCCAGTGTCTCCGATCTCGAATTCAAGGATGACCATTTCGGCAAGCATTCTGCTGTCGGAGGTACGGCTCATCGTTGGGATTCGACTCAGAACACATATGGTTTGACCGACGACTCAAAGATCCGTAAAAGTCCGCTGCGGATCAGAGTCCGGGATGCTCATATTATTTGGAATCTGTTTGATGGTTACGACTGGCAGCGGACCAGAGATACTATTTCCAAGGCTGTAAAGGACGTGGAGAAGAAGGCTACAGAGCGGCGCGCCCGAGCCGGTAGTCGGGCGTCACCCGGTTTCGAGGAAGAAGAGGAATCGGTTATCGGCGACTGTCTGTTCAACTCCATATATATTGGAATCCCTGCCAACAAGGATCCTCGAGAGCTTCGCAACGATATCAATCGTGACATTGACGATCTTGTCAGCGAAACAGGCAGCTATGCGACAACTACCACTGTTACTGGGGCCACGGCGCGTCAGGGCCAGTCGCCTTCGTATAGAGGAAGGAGATTGCGGTTGTCTAGGAGTAAATATCATAAGATGACGTTTGAGCTGAAAGGCATCTGCGCAGATTTCGTCGTCTTCCCCCCTGGCTCTGAAGAGACGCAGAGTTCGCTCGACGTTCGTGTGAACGACTTGGAGATCTTCGACCACGTTCCTACGTCAACATGGAAGAAGTTCGCGACGTACATGCATGAGGCAGGCGAGAGAGAAAGTGGGGCCAGTATGGTTCATTTGGAAATGTTGACTGTGCGGCCTGTTCCAGACCTGGCAGCGTCCGAGCTTGTTCTCAAGGTCAGCACTTTGTTACCCACGTTATGTAATCTGAACAGCTGTATTGACTTATTGCAGGCAACTCTTCTCCCCTTGAGGCTGCACGTTGACCAGGATGCCCTTGACTTTATCTGCCGCTTCTTTGAGTTCAGGGATGACTCTGCACCTACACCGAGTTCACCAGCCGACATTCCATTTTTGCAAAGAGTGGAAGTTAACGCTGTGCCTGTCAAACTTGACTTTAAGCCCAAGCGCGTAGACTACGCTGGGCTCAGATCAGGCCGAACGACTGAGTTCATGAACTTCTTTGTCCTTGATGGCGCGGATATGGTGATGCGGCATGTCATCATTTATGGAGTGTCCGGTTTTGATAAACTGGGTCAGACACTCAATGACATTTGGATGCCAGACATCAAGAGGAATCAACTTCCGGGTGTTCTTGCTGGCCTGGCGCCCATCAGATCTCTAGTCAATGTGGGAGGCGGTGTTAAAGATCTCGTCGTAGTTCCTATGCGCGAGTATCGCAAGGACGGCCGGATCGTCCGAAGCATCCAGAAAGGTGCGCTCGCTTTTGCCAAAACCACTTCCAATGAACTCGTCAAGCTTGGTGCCAAGCTCGCCATTGGCACTCAAACGGTTTTGCAAGGAGCTGAAGAGTTGCTGACCACACCGACCGCGCCGTCAATGGGCTCCGAAGACGACATGATCGACGAAGAGGAGGCAAATAAGATTTCGCTCTATGCGGATCAACCGGTGGGTGTGGTACAAGGCCTCCGGGGTGCGTTCCGCGGCTTAGAACGAGACTTGCTTCTCGCGCGAGATGCCATTGTTGCTGTCCCTGGCGAAATCGTGGAGAGTGGTAGCGCGAAAGCTGCCGCAAAGGCTGTTTTGAAACGTGCTCCAACCGTTATCCTTCGACCTGCGATAGGGGTCTCCAAGGCCGTTGGGCAGACGCTCCTCGGGGCTGGAAACACTCTGGACCCGAGCAATCGCCGGAAGATAGAAGATGTAAGTGTCGTGGTGAACTATGTCTCTCATTTATACTTGCTGACATTTTCTACTTAGAAATATAAACGCCATTAAGATGTTGACCATGTTGAGCTGAATGAGTTTGACTTTACTTTGCGCCATTTCAACCAAGATGATACCTTGCTTTCATTGCTTATATTTCAGACGAGCGGTTCAGGCCGCATTGCTATGATTCTTGCTTTTTTCTGCTCTATATCCCCGATTTCCAGACTGTTCTTCGGTACATATTGATTAGCTGGCAAGCGAGCCCCTGAGAATGTTTGCTGTCCACGATGAAGATGAATGACTTGAGAAATGTTCACGACTTATTGGTATTCCCATCGAAGCATAGATTGGTGTTGGGATTTGTGTCTTACGAGCCTTGGATAATATGAACTCAAATCCATTTGTGACTTTTTCGAATGAGCCTTAATGAAGCTGCAGGAATAATACCTTCACTTATGATAGCTGGAAAGCTGCGACAACAAGAGTAGTGAACCAGAGCCCTTATTCGCCTTTCAAAGTGACACAGACAAATGATGCCAGAGCGTCAGCGCCCAACACATTCCTCTTCAACGCCGTTTCCGACATGTGCCACTGCCAACCCCTTTCAAGTTGTATGACAGACAATAATATCGTCATCATCATCATGATCATCACGAATACCTATTGAAAGTGTGCGGTAGGGCCAGGGCCCGCAATCGAGGCTACCGCAAGGGCAAGGGACGAATAGAATACCCAGAAGCGGGTTTCGCCTCAAGATCCCTACCAGTACCAGGAGACTTAAACTCTGTTCGTTGTGAACTTGTGGGTGTCGCAAGGTCAACCTGAAACAAAGATGGCTTGCAGTTCCTGGCTGTGGCAGAGAGACCAGTGATCGTTCATCGAGGGTCAAGTGGATCGACAGGACAAGGGAAAAAAGTGATGGGTCATCTGGTGTGACGAGAGGGTGGTTGATTCTCCCTCGGCATTGGGGCCACGTTTCCTGGTGCCCAACCAGAAGGTGTGGACTGTAAACTGTGAGTCTGTGATGGTTGTGATTTGTGATATGCGTTCATCTGAAATTTAATTCAGAATCTCTCAGGTGGATGACGGTTTGATGGGGAGGATCTTAGATGACTGGTCATCGTTGTTTGGGGTGGGTTCGAGGCTGTCGATTGGATGCAGCCAATGTCGAGTGTCGAGTTCGTTTTTGGTTTTGGTTTGGTTATGGAGGTTGTCAGCGATGCAATGCATGTGCGTTAGCCTTTTCGACAGTTGATGCTCTCTATTCAGCCTGACATGTTGCTGCTTTAGCTACTGGAGTGTCTCTGGTTGTGGGTGGATTGATCGAGTGCGTGCAAGCACTACTGAGAATGCCCCCAAGGCAGTACCTGTAACCTAGGACACTACTACTGCAAAGCTCCGGGGCTAAACTACTATGGCCTTCGCCTTGGGGCGGGGTTATTGGTCACTAAACAGATAATTATTTCTGGAAAGGCAGCATGTTAGTCATCTTCTCTTGTGCTTGTATACATACTGTGAAGGAGACGGCCCAAATGGCGGCTGGATCAAGAGACAATTCAAAACAGTTATGGATCTCAATGTCAGTAAGTCAACCCCCTAAGTCTGGCACTCTGGCTGATAGAAGGAGACATGACACTAAGTACCAGGTAGCATAGCCACCTTCATCAACTCCTCTGTGTCCCAAAACCAGTGATAAATCTGGATCATATTTGCTAATGGATGACATCCTACAGCACATATCTGAAAGCAAGCAGGAGAACGTATATGAGCTCTGTACCCAAAGATGCATCCTTTAAATGCAGATGGTTGGGCTATAAGACAGAGAACGCAGTTCACATACATAGGCGCCTCAGTCCTCCAGGGATGCAAGCAGGAGGTTGTGAGCTATTTCAACTTCTATGGTGCTCACATACTCCTGACACTATCACAGAGCTCTGTTTCTATGGAGTCACCCTCCCCAGGGTCCATAGCAATGACAGCACCCTTTGAGGGCCAGTAAGTCGGAGCAGGCTTCTTTCAATGGATGTCCGCCTTGAACCCACGAGGGATGTTCCAACCTGCTCATCTGTAAGGCATTGGGGCCTTGGAGGCCAGCGTAAGTCCTCCTTTACAGTCCAATTAGGGGCAATCACTTGTAAATGAAGTGGTGTTTAATGGCGGCAGCTTCAGTTACAAACACTCTGGGCGCAAAACCGACATGGATATCATCCTTTCCATTACTGCGTGTTGGTTCTCTGGACGAATGGATTATAAGGAGGCTGATTTTCATAAATTCATGGTCTATCCGGACAGAAGTAATTCGATGGCCACATAATGTTCTTTTCTAACCGGAATGCCTCATCTGAAGGCTACATACAGAGTTTGATATCACTATCAAATACATCCATTTAGGTATTTAAAGGGGCTACTGCACAGCGTGCGTGTTCATATACAAACTGCGTGGGTGGTCTTAATCCATCTATGTGGCCCCTCATAAGCAGCGACAGGATTGACTGCAGAAAGTGCATGATGATTTTATTTTTAATTCCATGATTTATTTATTTATTGCTTTTTGACCTGGCAATGTGACGTTTGCTTGTTTCTTTTTTTGTCCAGGGCCCATCTGTCTCTTCCTTTCGTCCCCTTTTCTTCTCCTCTCCTTTTCTGTTTATACTCTGACTGCGAAGGTCAGAACAATAATGTCTGTTTCTTAGTCTTGATTCATGGCCTTGCCGGTCGGATTATGTCCTGGCCTCATGTACCTGTACCTGTACCTGTACCTTCAATGCCATCAGACAGTGGCCTGGATCAATTGACAGGCTCTCTGTTATCGCTCCTTTACTTCTGTGTTTCCTCATCGTGAGAACATCTCTTTTCACCACAAAACGAACAAGCAATCATGAATCTTGATCATGACCATCAACTCTGGAAAAGCAGCTGCCATGAACCTCTCCAGCTTCACCCACCTCTAAAACAGCCTCTCAAATCTTCAACTCTGGACTCTCCTTTCCCATCGCCCCCCTTCGATGCTGCAATGCTGAAGCCGGGATATCCGGGAGCATTGTCCCTGCACCACTACCGGAGGTTTCTTTCGCAGGATGACGGCTTCATCGCCCTGAACCGCAACGGAGGGAAGACCCTGCGGCGTAAAAACGCAGCCTTGGATCTGAACAAAAGTCAAACGAGCTTGACGCCTCCATTGTGTTCGTTTTCCGTCTCGTCTGCGGCGTCGAGCCCGCCTCCGCTGTCGCCGTCATACTCACCCAGTCCCGTCTCACACCGAGGTGAGAATGAGGCTGGACTTGATGAATCACTCTGTATGTATTATTCGGTTTGTCATGCTGTGCGAGGACATGCTAATGGACATAGTTTCCTTTCCATCCGGTTTCTCAGACATCAACACTTCAGAGCAAACGCTCCGTCCGAGTCCCGCACATAGCCCGCATCAATTGCTGGTGAGTTTGCTGGATACCGCACGGTTGACTGAGCTGACAAGATACAGGAGACTTTCCGAGCTAGGCTCGCCCGGTTCCCGGAGCCAGAGCCACAGGAGCAAACATTCACTCCCGGACATACCAAAGCCCGCTCGGATTCGATGCTACTGGAACTGCGCCGCCCAATCGCCACAGTTGAGCATCAGGGGGCCTCCTTCGAAATCCTTAATCCGCATGAATCGTTGAAATTCGCCCGGATAGTCTCATACATTGAAGACGTGGATCATTCGTCCCTCACAGACGACCAGCGGGACTCGTTTAACGCAACACAAGCTAAAAACGAGACCTTGATCTTGGAGCAGGACGAGCCCGTTGAGGCAAGTCATGACAACGACCAGGGCCACAACTATTACATATCCGACGCCGACGAAGAAAAAGCCCACTACGAACTCATCGGCGACTTGCCGCATCACCCGATACCATCTATCTCCGAACGATTAGAGGGAAATGAGACCGATATCCCGCAATCTCATATCTGGAGCTCGCCTCCGCAGTCCAGACCGATAACAGCGCAATCATATGGAAGTGAACTCGGGGAACCGGGGTCCTCGGTTCTAGCCTCATACGACGGGGGAGGGTGGACGGGTACTACGGACGATATTCTCGCGATGAAGTATGAGGAGATGCAGCGGCGCGACTCGACCAGGAGGTCTTTGTCAGATCGGAAGAAGCGCGGGAAGCGCAATCCGTTTAAGAAGTTACGCGACTTTGCGAGTGCCCTGCGAAGGGGCCGGCTTTTTCGATGATACGGTCGACAGTGTGCTATGTCAGAGACACCGCGGTGTGAGTGGGTTCCTATATAACAGCCTGGAGCTGGTGTCTATTTCGTTATGATAGATTAGCCTGGTATATACTTTAATCTCTTCATCCTTCGGTGTAGAGTAAGGTACAGTGTACCTCGAGTCAGGTCATACAAGCGTCGCCATTCTGACGTAGTTACCCAACCCTGATTCCTCACGAATATACCCGACAAAAACCTCAGGCACTCACAGTGGTCATCCATCACACCTCAAAGCAGACACCCAACCGACCCCCAAACAACATGGAAAACCACCCAACGGCCCTCTCAATCATCCACTCCGAGAACCTCACCCACGCCCTCCCGGACAAAGTCATCCTAATAACAGGCTGCTCATCCGGCCTCGGCGCCGCAACCGCCCGCGCCCTATCCAAAACAAACGCAACCCTCTTCCTCGCCGTCCGCGACATCCCCAAAGCCCGGCATGTGCTGGCCGACCTCCTCGCCCCTGCGTCTGACTCTGACTCTAACCCTACCTCTGATGAAGACGGCAAACCCTCGACCCCAACCCCAACCTCCCAGGGCGAGATCCGCCTCCTCCACATGGACCTAGCCAGTCTATCCAGCATCCGGCGCGCGGTGAACGAGTTCCTCTCGCAAAGCGACAAGCTCAACGTGCTGATCAACAACGGCGGGGTGATGGCCACGCCGGAAGGACGCACGGAAGACGGCTTCGAGACGCAGTTCGGGACGAACCATCTCGGCCATTTCCTGCTGTTTGAGCTGCTGAGGCCTGTGCTGCTGCGGTCTGTGACGCCGGGGTTTCACTCGCGGGTGGTGGCGGTGACGTCGTCGGCGCATCGGAAGAGCGGGATTCGGTTTGGGGATCTGCATTTTGATGAGGGGCCGTATGACCCCGCTCTGGCGTATGCGCAGAGCAAGACGGCGAATATCTATATGATGAATGAGATTGAGAGGCGGTTTGGGGGGCGGGGGCTGCATGGGCTCAGTGTGCATCCGGGGCTTATTTTCACGGGGTTGCAGAAGTTTGTTGATGATGGGGTGTTGGAGGAGTGGCGGAAGCCGGGCATGAAATCGCACCTGAAGACGGAGGAGCAGGGTGCTGCCACGGTGGTGTTGGCTGCTGTGGGGAGGGAGTGGGAGGGTAAAGGCGGGAAGTATTTGGAGGATTGTAGGGAATCGGAGCTGGCGAAGCCGGGGTGTCGGACGGTTGATCCTGGGTATGCGATGCATATCTGGGATCGGGAGAGCGCGGAGAAACTGTGGGAGGAGTCACGACGGTTGGTTGGGTTGCGGGAGAATCAGGACTCGAGCGATATATAAGTGAAATAAACAGGCTGATATATATCAACGACGTATATACAGGCCGGGTATCTATCTTAATATGTACAGGAGAAAGGGAAGTCTCGAGAGAGGTAGTAGATCAAAGAGTCATCTGCGGTGCCTTTTCAATCACAGAAGCCAAGGCGGCGCTGACCAGGCTCTTCCTTCTCAGGCCTTGATCGCTTTTCTTGCGGTAATCCCGGCTTGATGACAAGCAATAGCTCTTTTCGATACGGTGAGATGAAGAAACGCCAGCAGTGCTTTTCCTCCGGTCTCGATGCTCAACCCCTGAGGCATCAGAAAGGCTGGAAGTGGCGGCTATCGGTCGATAACGGCTCCGGCTGAGCGTGACAGCCCCCCTGCGGGGCGACAGCTGCGGAGGAAGTGAGCTTGGATGACAGTCGTCCTGGTTGAATGGGTCGAACTCCGACGGCTCATCTTCAGAAACAAGAGCCCGTTTGATGGCTTCGATGTCGGAAGGACTGCATTGCAGGCGGGAGATATGTTGCCGATGTGCCCGGATGTTCATCGTAGTATCAAGTCCACTGTTCAACAGAGTTTCAAGAGCCCCACCCTGCGACGTCAAGTCCAGCGGGGCGGACATGGCTCCCAGAAAGGGGGATTGCTGATGAGGCGACAATGAGGGTGAGAGAGAGGTCATCGACGACGTGTCACAGTATCCCTCATCATCATGGTCTGTGTCCGGGGGTGTCAGGAAATATCCATGGAATTGCCCTGATACCGACCGGGGCGTCGATGGTGAGGCGGGTACGTTGTCAGCTTTCTCCTCTTGAGACTGACTCTGAATTGTATGCTCATGGAGCTTCCTTGTCAATGTACTGATGGAAAGTCTCTTGCCGTCGTAAGCGGAGAATGGAACAGAGGTAGGCGGCTGAGGGGAACGGAAGTGTGATGATCGCGAACGATGCAAACTGCGGGGAAACTTATGCGACGACGTCGATCTAGGTGAGGGGCATCGAGATGACAATGGCGAGATCATAGAACTATCAGAATCAATCATGAGTCGATCGTCCCCGTCGAACGCCAGCCGGGGTGGTCTGGTGGACGACGGCGAAGAGAAGGAGAAGTCCTCGAACATGACGCCGTGCTCCAACTTGCAACTGGCTGTCCCGGATGCTGATAGTAACGGGGGGGTTGTGTGATGGCCAGTTGCCTTTGTATGTGTCTAGGCCTGATGGTAATGAGTGCTGAGTATCACCAGGATTGAAATATCGGGCGGAAGCGCGTCTCGGGCAACTTATAAAGCGTACTACCAAGAGTGGCCACTTCGGACTTGTCCCGTACGGCTGCGGAAAAAAGAAAACCACGCTAGAAAAGAAAAAATGGGTAAGGAGAAAAGCGAAAAGAATGATACTGGGGCGTTTAAGGCTGCTTAAGGCCTTAAGCCACAGAAACGTCCGAACCCTGGGGCAAAATGAATGGAACGGCGAAGGGCGTGGGGACTCAGAGAGCGCCGTGACGCTGTCTCACCGGCGGGAGGAGAATCACAGGCAGATGGTTGGTGGGCAGATGAAAGGCACCCTACCGCCATCCATGGCTCGATCAAGGACCACAAGAAAAGAATGAGAAGAAAGAGTGGGAAAAGATGAAGATCATAAGGGAGTCTTGTTTGCCCCTTTTCCTCCATACTATTATTTATGAACACTTTGGTCTCTCTGTTAGTGGAATTGAATCATCTCAGGAAAAGCCAGAGAGTTCTCCGTGCACTTGATGCCTCAGCCCTCAGGGGTCCAGACTCGCTGACTCAGCCGGCCTGCTTTTCGCCTCTCATCCTCAAGTCTCAAATTATTAACGCGTTCATTGGTCTCCCCCTACGGTCTGTTCGTTTATGGACTGGATGGAGGATAGATGAGTCTACGACTGGCATGAGAATGCTCCGCCTTTTCGTTTTGAGCAGTCGTTACTCGTTAGGCTCGTTACTTCTCCAGAACTGACACCGACTTACAAGTTACAATATGGCGATTGACGTTGCGCACCATTCAATATATCGAAGTGATTCCTCACTTGTGATGAGTCCATTTTTAAGGACTTATTAAAGCCTGGAAGGTTGATACATTATCTATGCGATCTGCAGACATATCTGCAAGGCTCAAGGAGACTTGCATATGCCATAGTATCATCTCAACGGCTTCACTCAACAGTAGTAAGGATCAACTCGATGGACGTCCAATTCGTCTCCCCTCTGAGAAATTCAGAGAGAGCCTATTCGTCTAGACTCAGGCTGAAGGTTGATTGAGTGAGTCTTCTACCATGAAGACTCCAGGGCCAACTACAACATTGGCTTTCCTTACACGAAATGGAGGAATTGCGCCTACTCACATTATTGAAGACTAATAACACACATCTCCCCAGCTGATGTCTTTTCGCTATTCGTAATTTCGAAGGAGAAAGAAGTTCATTTTGTCAACGGTCGATCACCGTCCTTGGAGATGTGGATAAGGTGGATCAGGTCTGATATCACAGCGAGAACTGCTAACCGGCTGATAGAACCTGTTTCACGATTTCACCGCAGAAACATCATTCCTTGTTTTCTGTCTCTTTCTCGGGGTGGCCATTATCGATCCCTCTGCGACGATCCTGGTTTCTGGGCAAGTCGAACCGTCGAGGTCTGGAGTTGACATGAAGAACTTCATGATACTTCGTTGCTGGGTCTGACCCTAATTGCCGTATGTAACCGAGCGATTGCTTTCCACGGTCAGGGAAGGTCTCACTTTCATAAACAAGGGTAGGTACTCCGTAGACCCTGTGCAGACAGGCATTATCTATGAAGAAAACAAGGGCCTTCGTATCTTTTGTCATAGAATGATTGTATTGGCAAAGGTTTGTTTTATTTTTATAAGGAGATATGGGGGTCTCTCTATAGCCTGGGTGTAGAATCCGCCAGCCAAAGCCCAGGGCTACCATCTCTATTCAAAACCATAGCACCCTTAGAGTAATAAGGAATCACCCTCCAGAGTGGTACTACCAACTCTCCCACTCACTCATCGCTCCTTAACAGTGTGTTTTGGTTAAGGATATATAAAGAATAGCATAACCAAGAGGGGTGAAAGAGGGATTGATCCATTCCACCTTAATCTCCATTCCCTAACCATTATATGCCATCTTCAGAGCTCAAAACATTTAAAATCAAGAGGGAATATCATAGCTGCCTTTATATAACTATCTCATTAAGACTGAGCAGTATTAGTGAACAGAAGGTATCGAGTCTTGATCATTCAATCATGCCATGTGGCCTCGAGGGCTTTGTCAAGTGGAGGGTTTTGCTGAACCAATTTTGTTGTAGAATAGGTGGAAAATGATTCATAAGACTATCGAGGATGTTTGTTATCAATGACTTGGTATCACCAAGGCTTGGTTGGTATTACCAAGGTATTTTGGAAGGTAGGTAGGTCGATGATATTCATATTTGAACCAGAGGTAAGTATAGCTTTGATTCAGCGCAGCAGCAGTCATTGATGGGAGGGGTTGATAAGCTGTAATGGGCTTGTCTTAGCTTCATCTTCATAAGAAGATTACTAGACCCTAGCACCACGTTGAGGTGCAAGCCCTTTGCTGGGGTCATAGAATGATTGTATGATGGATCGTATTGCATATATTGATGGAAAGGCCGAACCGAATATGTAGCATGGTCTTCGGAAAAGGGAGAAGATCGTCCAACCTTTAATCAATATGAATGGAGCACTCAGATCTCTTGAAAGGAAGCAAATCCGTTAAGTCAAATTGTACGCGGCATCACATAACGCCTCTGCTGCTATGCACCGGCACGAGCATAAATCAACCACGTCCGCATACGGGTTCTCTCCACCTTCGACAGCTACAGCTGACGTCTGCTTTAGGTTGCAGGAACCATTCCCATATGGACAAGAGCTTTACGAGCCTCCTCTCGAAGAGGATCGATACTTAACGGAAGAGCTGTATTCGCCGCCAGGCCTTGCGGAAGAACATGTCCGAAAAGATCGCCAGCATTGATCCAAAGAGAGATCCCCGTCACGTTCGCCGGAAATATGACCTATTGTGATGTTAAATTATCTGTCGGTCAGCCGTAGAAAGGGAAGACAATACTTACCGCTTCTTTATGGCAAAATGGATTGCCCGCTGCATCACGGACATATAACTCAGCCTTGCCGGTGACTTGATTAGTTCTGGCCCTCTTCGCAAACTCGAGGATGAGGACGATTTTGACATGTGGACGACCCCCCGTCATCCACAGTTGCATGTCCTGAACAAGTCGTCCTTGTGATTCGGACCAGCCAATCTCGATCACGAAGGAAGGCTGGTACTGGTTGTCGGGCGTCATACAGAAGTCTGGGCTCTTTCGGGAGTTTGTATAAGGCGCAGCGAAGTGTTCTTGCACTAATCAGAGTTAGCAATATCGTATAGGATAATAGCAGAATACTGACCTGCGTTCGTGAACACTGTTAAATTGTTCAGCTGACCATCTGTGACGAGGTTTTGCCGTCGCCATTCACGTTCTACCTGCCTCATCCAGTTGGTATGGCACTCATGGACACGTGTCGGCATTATTCTAATCAGCAGCGTCCCTGTGACGCTGTTATAGTTGATGCTGAACACAACATGAGCACAGTCAGCAAGGAATATATGTAGATATGATCTGACAATGTAACTTACCTGGCGTTGGACCTCTCAGTGTCTTCGTGGTTCTCTATGGAGTCGACGATCAATGTACCCCAGTCGGGAGGGACAGAGTAGTATGCTATTTCAGCAGAAGAATTTGTCTGAAGGATTTCTTTTCGGATGTTGGTGTACATGTGTTGTGGTGTTCGGAATTCGGTAGCTGAATGGTGAATAAACTCAGGCCAGACAACTTCCCTCTGCTCTTTGTCGCTCCTAAGGCCGCGTCTTTGGGACCATTGAGGTGATGAGACCCCCATGGTGAGCTAGCCAGAGTACGAAAGAGTCGAAGATGGAAGGATAGTGATTAATATGGAGATGAAGAAGGAGAGATCAGAGTGCTCTTACTTATCTTGTCCAAGAATGCAAGGTGAGAGAGGGTTTAGATATCTTATATTCACTTTTCTCACTTACGTAGGCAATACCTGTCTAACCAAGGTAGCCTGTAGGATGGCGTACCTACGGGAAAGAAACACAAAGGAGAAAGCTAAGATGATGTCTAATTCTACTATCTAGACGGCCGCTGGGCCAAGTACAAGGAGAGATCACGATGGTCCTCTGAGAAAAAGGCCCATCTCAGGCGTACTGCCTAAATCGCCCCCAGAACTTTATATTTGTGATGCATTTGGTAACCCAGCCCTAACAAGAAGCTGTGGGTTATGTTGCCGTTGAACCGAATTGTAAGCGCATAGTATGACGCCTCTGCTGCTATGCAGCAGCACGAGCATGAACCAACGACGTCCGCTCACAAGATTCTCTGCTCACCCGAGAGCAAGCGATGGGCAGCTTGCAAGGGAACAGTATACAAGACAGTCATCGGGCACAATTGGAAGCCAAGGGTACCAATTTGATGTTTTTCATATTGCCAGAAATGACCATAACAATCGTGGTGAAATACAATAATGCAGCGGTTGTCGGATAAAGAGAGGAAGCCTGGAAGGGACGCTGATAAAGCAACGGAATCGGCCGTGACTCCGACCCCATATGAAGTTCCCCGCATCGCCGAAACCACCGATAACCTCAACTTTCCAACAATCATTGCATTTGCTCAGACATGGCAGCCCTTTTGAAACAACCTCTTAAGCTAGCCCTAGTGCAGCTGGCTTCAGGTATGCTATGTCCAAGCGTTCACAATCTCTTCAACCCATACTAACATTCGACTCGGTCATAGGTGCGGACAAAGCCGTCAATCTCGCTCACGCGAGGACCAAGGTCCTTGAAGCTGCAAAAGCAGGCGCAAAGCTTATCGTTCTCCCCGAATGCTTCAACTCGCCCTATGGAACACAATATTTCCCTTTGTATGCCGAGACACTACTCCCTTCGCCTCCCACGAGAGAACAATCCCCCTCATATCATGCTCTGTCGGCCATCGCTGCGGAAGCCCAGGCATACCTGGTAGGAGGCAGTATACCCGAGCTGGACACTTCGACAAAAAAGTATTACAACACATCCCTTGTGTTCTCGCCGACAGGCTCTCTCATTGGCACACACCGCAAGACGCACCTATTCGATATTGATATCCCCGGAAAGATTACGTTCAAGGAAAGCGAAGTACTCTCGCCTGGAAACCAGTTGACCCTCGTCGAGCTCCCAGAATATGGCAAGATTGGTCTCGCCATCTGCTACGATATCCGTTTCCCGGAGTCGGCAATGATCGCTGCGCGCAAGGGAGCTTTCGCGCTGATTTACCCTGGCGCCTTCAATATGACTACCGGCCCTCTTCATTGGGCACTCCTTGGTCGCGCTCGTGCGGTTGACAACCAGATCTATGTTGGCTTGTGCAGCCCGGCTCGTGATACGAACGCAACATACCACGCTTGGGGTCACAGTCTGATCGTCAATCCTAACGCGGAGATCCTGGCAGAAGCAGCCGAGACGGAGACGATTATATACGCGGACCTGGATAACGAGTCTATTCAGAACACTCGAAAGGGCATTCCCGTCTATACTCAGCGACGTTTTGACCTATACCCTGATGTGAGCGCCGAGAAATGACACGCTTAGAGGATACAATTAGTGTTGCGTTCTGGCAGGAGAAAACAACCCGGGCTAGTGATAGATGACTTATGACTAATATACATCAATTCCAACAAATACTGCCTATTCCGAGTACAACAGCCATGAAGAAGGGTTTAGCATGTAGCTTCAAGACAGTTTCGATTAGCAGTGGAGGGTGTAGCATCACGTGACAGTAGCCACCCAATCAGAGTGTTACCAGACGATAAGCGAGCCACACTGAATTTCGACCACCAAAAAAACGACATCCGAAAATCCCAATTCCTTCGACAGTCGACCACATCGCCAACGACAGCCGACGTTTCTCTGTCAGCCCATTCAGTCAGTATCAATTCCGCATTGTTGTGTCGCGCAGTTTTTTTTTACCCAGAGCTGAAGATTACTGACATTTTCTTTTCTTCCCGTTTCAGAAATGTCCAGCACCGTCAAGACCACCGGCAAGAAGACACGTTCGGCCATCGCCGACGTTGTCACCCGCGAGTACACCATCAACATGCACAAGAGAGTACGTTGAAGACGCTGGACCTTTGCTTTTGATTTCCTTTGCACACAATTCGTGGTCAATGAATCGACCGACTTTTTGCGACCTTGCGGAACCAAAAACCCTGAGGCATGGACGGAGAACAACATATGGGAACATCTCGAAACAACCTTGTGTGAGGGGAGGAATCCGCTGCAGAAGGGCTTGTGCGAGATATTTTTTTCGGGGATCAGAATCCGAAACCCAAGGAAAGAGGAGGAAAATACAAAATACACGACCACAAAAAAAGAAGAAATAGTTTGATGAAGTCCACCTCTATGGCCGCAAATAGCATCTTCGCAGATTCACTCTACCAGATGGCATTTGGGCGGAAGACTAATTTCTCCTTTTTTTGCTCGATCTATAGATGCACGGTGTTACTTTCAAGAAGCGCGCTCCTCGTGCTATCAAGGAGATCCGCGCCTTCGCTGAGCGGGCTATGGTAAGTTTCTTCCCTCTTCAGTACCTGACTGAGGAAGCGATGGGATGGGATTCAGCTAACCACTCGCGTTTCGCCAATCAGGGCACCAAGGATGTCCGCCTCGACCCCCAGCTGAACAAGAAGGTCTGGGAAGCCGGTGTCAAGGGCGTTCCTTTCCGCCTCCGCGTCCGCATCTCCCGCAAGCGTAACGACGAGGAGGGCGCCAAGGAGAGACTCTACTCCTACGTTCAGGCCGTCAACGTCAAGGACGCCAAGGGTCTGCACACCTCTGTTGTTGACGAATAAACGGATCGCTTCCTGCTCGGGTCTTGTGTTACGGTTGACTTGGAACAATAAAAAAAATTTCCATGAAATGAAAATTTCTTTCTTCCGCTGTAGCCTCGGCATCGGTGCTTCTCTTCAGGCTTGGGAGTACGGAGTGAAATATCGTCCTATCGGGTAGGATAGTATCGATTGATGCGAGACCACAGAGGAATTATAGTCGACATGACTACCAAGAGATCCTTTATTCAATTCATTATACCCTCTTGCTTTGGAAAGAATCGTATCTTGAGTAGTTTGCTCCTATTAGAATGGTCTTTCCTACCACGAGGAAGTCGTTGAAATCCAACTTGCCTATTTCAGGGCTTTCTAGATCTGAAAGATGAAACCATATCTGCAAAGTATGATGCTGCATAGAGAGCATCGTCAGCCTATTATGACCCTTGATAAAATACCAATAAATGTGTGCCATGTCAGAGAGACAACCCCAGGGAATTCAATGAATGAGGATAAAAGATATTAATGATATGTTAGTTGGAGGAGGCAGTGCAATGGTTCGAACCCACACGCTATGCTAAGGCGCCTGTCTTGTTCCATAGATAATAACATGATGCTGATGATGCACTGTAATTGAAATGGGAAGTAGTTACACACAAAGGCCATGGTCCGATTGTGGGAGAAATCGACGGCAGGAAGGATATGGAATGCAAAAAAGGTTCAACAAAATGACGCCAATTTTGTGTGCTCATGGTTCAATAAGACTTGAGGAAGAATCGACAAAGTACGGCGCCAAGGCAGAGAAACAAATTTGACATGACAATCGCAAATACAAAGAAGGGGCCAGTTCGATCAATGAGATCGCACGGCAACCATGAGTCTTTGGTGGATAGAAGGATACAAGCATCGGCTTCTAAGGCCCGTGTGCGTGAACCATGGGAAGCACGGTGATGGCCGGACGGAAGTCGTAAGAAAGAGCCGCGAAAGTGTTCGAGATAGACCAAATGTACAACGCCGATTCGTGATATGTAAACACAGCTTGTGCTTACGCCTTGGACTTTTCAATTGCAGAATGCAAACGCTCAACTTCTTCCTTCTTCACTCTAACAGCCCATTGTTCCGGGGCGCCTTCAGCCTGGGGAACCAGGAACTGCACACTGTTGGCGTTGACAGTGTACTTAATATCCTTCAACAAGGCTGCGTTCAGGACAACCTTGCCACTTGGGTCGGCTCTCAGGATGATACGAGAGCGGGAAGTGTTGCGATTTTTCAGAACACGAAGATAACCAACACCCTGGCTATCCCAGCCTGCGCCAGGCTTGAGCTTCAATGCACGCGCCCGGGTCTCGATCACAATGTCTTCGTCCTCTTCGCCCGCTCTGCTGCGAGCGAGATCAACCTGGGGTAGAGATTCCACAGCCTCGCCATCTACAGACTCCTCCCCACCAGTGTCGGAGGTCATTCCGGGGGTCGACGCACGACTGCCAGTGGCGGACGTGAGAGTGGAAGGAGCCAGGAAGGAAGAGCCTTGCTGTGACGGACCACCAAAGGAGAACCCTAGCGCCGACTGTCCACTGCCGGACGACTTCGCCCCAGCGGCTGGCGCGCCGAACAGAGTAGAGAATGGCTTCGAGGAGTCTGTTGATGGAGCGGTGAACCCAGAATCAGGCTTCCCCGTGGTCGAAGGTGCCGTAACAGTTGAGTCGGCGAATTTGATGGGGGAATCTGGCTTCCAGGTCTTGTCACCTGCTGGTTTCGACGAGCTCTGACCAAAGATGGACGACGAACTCGTTCCAGTACTTGCCGATACCGAAGTAAAAAGACCACCGCTCGTGTTAACCGAAGGGTTGAGGATGCTAGATGCTGGCTTGGATTCGGCGGTATCACCTTGTCCGGGTGCAGGGGTACTGGGTGAGCCAAATGGATTCGGGGTGGACATTCCAGGACTCGTCAGGGAAGAGGAGAACTTGGACGAAGGGCTAAAGAGGGAAGAGAAGGGGTTCTTTGGTTCCTCGTCGGTTTGCCGCTTAGGCTTTCCATCTTGACCGTACTGAACCCGATCAAATAAACTTTTGCCACCGGTCGCCGATGTGCTCGAGGCTTGCTTTGACTTCGTCAGAGCTTTAGAAAAATCACCGTCATCACTGCTGTCATTAGCAGAGAACTCGGCTCCGCTGACCGAAACCGCTTTGGAGTCTGCTTCGCTGGTTTCCGCATCCCGACTACCCTCATCTTCGCTGGCCGGTACCAGAGACGACTCTTTGGACTCTTCATCAGCATCTTCCCCAGCAGCTGACGCCTCTTCAGTATCGTCAGCATCATTATCCTCTTCTACCTCTGATGGGGTCGCGGAGAGATGACCAAAGATATTATTCGCTTTGACCGGAGTGTCTCGCTTTGCTTCAAAGACGGATGCGCTGGCAGTTGAAGTAGATGCCTCTGCCGATTTCTTGGGTTCCGTAGTATCGCTGCTCTCATCCTCAAGGACGAATCCCTTGCCCGGAACAAACTTGGCCCGCTTTCTAGACTGAGCCTCCAACTCCTTGCGTTTCTTGCGCTGCTGTTCAGCGTCTTTCCGTTCCCATTCAGCTTCGTCTTCTTCCTCGGAGTCGAAGTCCTCTGCTTTGCGCTTCTGCTTTTCCTTCTCAGCATTCTTATCAGCAAGCGATTTGAACTGAGCGAAAAAGTTCGTCCCGGTGCCGGCACCGAATTTGGGAATGGGTGGGGCAGCACTGGCTGGCGACTCGGTTTTCTTATCACCTGTGGGCTTCGGGACGAAAAGATTTTGGACAGGCGTGCTGACGCTGGTTGTCGATGACGTGAACACAGGTTTTGAGACAGGTTGAGAAAAGACGGAGTTGGATGTTGCGTTTTCCTTGGTAGTAGTTGATGAAGAAAATATGGGCTTGGCCGGAGATGCAGACGGGGTGGTAGAGAACAGAGCAGGCTTATTGGCTTCTGGCGTAGCTGGCTTGGTAGACACTGCACTTGTGGCTTCTGAATCATCAGCTTTCGATTTCGAGAAAGACTGAGCGAATATGCTCGCTGTCGCAGAGTCATTGTCGGAATGGTTCTCAGCCCGAGAGACCGAAACAACAGCTCCAGCCTTTTCCTCAGCCATTTTACCATTGGTAATTGGAGTGCTCTGGTTTGTATCAAAAAGCTTAGACGGCGTTGTCGTAATGGAGCTTGGTCCGATGTTCATCTTCGGGGAAGGTGACGAGATGTTGGCGCTGGAAGTCGCTGGCGCACCACTGGTGCCAAAGGGCTTGACTTTCTTCGCCGATTGTATTTCAAGATCAGCACTTTCATCGTCGGCAGTCTTCCGCTTAAATGGGCGCAGTACGATTGGCGCACCCATCACTTCACGAACCTGCATGTAAAAGAGCACGATGGCGTCGAAATCGTGCGTTACAGGATTCAGTTGAGCGATCTCGCGCTGAAAGCATTGATTCAAAACGCGGACACGGTACACAAGCTCAACATCTTTCTTCTGCTGTTCGCTCAGTCCAGGAGGCAAATTTTTCGGCTGCACGCTCTTGGCGAATCGGACTGCGGGAGGCTCGGCTGAAGTTGTTGGCTGAGCGGGTGAAGTGAGTGAAGCGGGTGCTGCACCATTGACTTTGAAAACGCCTTGAGACGCAGTAGTTGTGGACGCAGGTGTCTGGATCTTACTCTCCGCAGCAGTGGTCGAGAGAGATGAAGACTGCGGCGCGAAGAGGCCGGGGGATGGTGAAGCTGCAGACGAGAAAGCCGGGGTAGAAGCGACTGGTTTCGCTGGCTCTCCCACTTTCGCTCCTTCGCTGGGTGTGCTAGGCTTGGGAGAAAAGAGAGAGCCAAACGGGACAGCAGCAGGCAGGGGTTTTTGTTCTGGCCCGGGTTGGGTCGCAGTAGATGGTTTAGGGGCGAAAAGGCTGCCGAAAGGATTTGACTCGGGAGTCTTGGGCTTATCAGTCTCTGCAGAAGCAGGCTTGGGCGCAAACAGGCTGCCTGTGGCCGGTGCCTGGAACAAGCCAGTTGATGAAGTTGTTGAAGGCGCAGCAGCAGCGCTTTCGCTCTTGGAGAAGAGATTGCCACCGGTTGTGGAGGAGGAAAATTGGAAGCCGGTCTTGGGAGGGGCGGCCTCGCCTATTTTCTTCTCATGTTCTTTCTCTTGTGCAGGCTTTGGCGTAGCTGATGGAGAGGACACGCCTGAGAAGAGGTTTGAAGACTGGAAAGGATTCTGGAACGGCGTTGCAGGCTTGGCCAGAGGTGCAGTACCAAACAGTGTCGACGATGTCGTTGTCGTAGCAGAAGTCAATGCGGGCGTAGGAGGCGCCGTAGCACCTGTTGTGGGTTGCTGGGAAGTAGCACCGAAGAGAGGGGTCGAAGTTGGAGTAGCTTGCTCTGTTGGCTTTGTCCCAAAAAGTGGTTTAGACGGAGTTTGTTGAGCCGCCGGCGTAGCACCCCCAAATACGGAACCTCCTGCTGGGCTGGCGAAGCCTGTGGATGCGCCAAATGCAGGCTGAGAAGTACTTCCTCCGAATATGGCTGGCTTCGATACGGCAGCATTGGCCTTTGGGTCAGGAGATGTCTGCATCGAATCGCTACCGAACGCTGTGGATTGGCCAAAGGGAGAAGGCTTGTCTGATGTAGACTGGCCGAACAGATTTGTAGATGGAGCAGTGCTAGTGGCGCTACTCTGGCCGAAAATGCTGCCAGTGGAGGGTGCCGTCGTCACAGGCTGGCTTGAAGGTGCAGCAGTGGAAGTGCTTCCAAATATGCCTCCAGGAGCAGTAGTCTGCTGCGAGCCGGTGCCAAAGAGACCGCCCGAAGGCAGAGACTGCTGGCCTGGAGCAGAGCTTCCGGTGGGTGGTACGTTGAACATACTGCCTTTGAAGCCAGAGAACCCACTATTATCAGACGGTTGGCTGGGCGCAGTAGTGTTCAGAGTGGCGAAGGGATTTGCCGATGACCCAGAGCCACCAAAGGATGTAGAGAAACTGAAGGACGATGAACCAGCACCTCCTGAGCCAAAGGCAAATGGTGATCCTCCGTTCTGACTGGGCTGGCTTGGGTTTGTACTAGCTCCTGGAAAACTGTGAGACTGAGATTGGCCAAAAGAGAAGCCGTTCGTCGCTGGCTGGGAGCCAGACACAGTATTGGGATCGATTGAATTGAAAGGGCTGAATGTAGCTCCAGTAGCACCTGGAGCAGTCGTACTCGGGCGGGGTCGTCTCCGAATATCCTTAATTCTGCCGATGCTGTCAGTTACAATTCAAGTTGGAAAATCTAGACAAGAAGCTGAAAATTCGCTATCGACGATTGCGAGTTGAAGAACTTTTCAGATGGAAAGTGTTGAGGTAACAGAAGAAAGAGGGGAGACAGGAAGAACAAGACAAAGAAAAAAGAACTTGAGCAACACAATGAAAATAATATGGGAGGCTGGTATGGTGGCCCCTCTCCCATTCAGTGAATAGAGACGTCGCAAGAGATGACAGGAGATGCATAAAATTAATCGCAACCATGAATCTCGTCCACTTACTTTCTATTTGCCATCTGCGCAGCTGTCGCCCGCTGAGGCTTTTCTTCTGGTGTGCTCGCCATATTGAATGCAAAAAGATCGGAGTCCTTGTCGCCCTGAGGGCCAACAGCTCCTCTTTTAGACATCTATCGCTGATGAGTCTCCGAGGTGAGCTCAACCCCCTTCCTGGTTTCCTACTCGCGAAAGCGATTTTTCATCCACTTAAGACAGGTTCGACGATCTCGCAAAACTGCAATACAGCGATTGAGCTTTCCTGTGAAATCCCCCTCGAGGAAGACAGCACGTCTTTGTGATTTCGACTACTCTCAAAGCGGCGCGCAGAAACGCGGGGAGGAATACTTGATGGCGGTCTTCACAAGCGGCAAATGGGCGATGTATTCGCGTTCTCGTGTGGATCAATCGCCAATACTCCAGCTCCTCTATCGAAACCTTTTCGTCAAGCTGTGGGCCCGAGGAAGCGATGCGGATTTCGCTTGTTCTGCACAGATCGCGATGCGCGAGAGGCAGCCTGGGCAACGGGGTCGTGGGAAGTAGGATGAGGGTGTAATGGAGGACAGAGGCAAAGATCTGAGGCGCTCTGATGCTAAGTGTGAAGTGTTTGCCTCTTTTCGATATCCTTGGCCTCGGAGAGGATGAGATTGGGTAGGTAAGAGCTATACGGTTTTCCTCAACAGCTACTCGGCTCGCGACTTTTTTCGCCGGTGATCAGAGCCTCTTGCTGGCAGAGAAAAAGTCCCGGTCACGTGATTATACAGGGTGACGTTCTTGGCACAAATGACATAACAGCCAGCAGGAAGAGACGTCCGGCAATGATGATAGAATATGCAGCAAATTTGAGGGATATAGATGGAGATAATTCCATTGTCTACATGGCACATCATGGTTGGTGCTGTGATTGGTTATGGGCCATATAACGACCTTCTTTATCTGCGCACAACATCAGGGCGTATTGCTGTTACGTGATGGTCAGACAAGAAAGTGAAGAAACTCCCTACAAAAAGGCGTATCATATGTAATCATACGGTATATCATCACAACATGCCTTCCCGTGGTTTCCATGGCACAAACAGCAACATGCTTGGAGACTCTACACAACAGCAGCATATTTGACTCCTTTCTGCCAAAAAAGAGCTTCTTGCCAGTCCAAATTTGATAAAACTATACCAACTACGGAGTACACATTGTTCATGAGTGCGGATCTTGAAAGCTTCTATGACCGTACATTGAGGTTGAGGATGCAATTTCATGGAACCGCGAAATGCTGAAGTTATAATCAACATCGTCCGGGTTTGTTTGAAGATTATTGGCATCGGAAGCTCTCATGTCATGAACGATTCTTAGGTAGGTTATAATTTTTTCTACTCCGCATCGCGAAGCATTTCTCTACGGTCACTCAGTCTTCGACTCAGTTTTCCCAGTTGAGCAAGCTGTTGCAAGGAACGTGATGTTCTCTCCGCTAGGAGAAGAGACTATCCATCGTTGTTGAGTTCAGAATTTCTTCACGCAGCCTTCACTCGGGTTTGGGGTTCATCCCTCCCTAAAAATCGTTTCCGGAATTTGGTATGCTTCCCAAGAGGCTCAAGCGATAGACCACAATCAAATCCCATCACCGTCGACGCGTCTGCTACGCAGGGCAAGGAGATATCTGACTCAACCTGTGGTGAAGAGGAAGACTACCCGCCGTCAATTTGAGACTGAAGAAGTCCGATAGCTGTCAAAGTCAAGTCAATCTCCTAGCGATGGCTTGCGGGCTCCAATTAAGAACAAGGTCATGATGCATGGGAAGCCATGTTGCGACCACACACCCTGACAAGTTTGTGATCTTAATGCGAGAGAGGCCGTCCGCTCAAGCAGGTTCTGGGGCCTACCAAGCGACTTTTGGAAACGAATTCATTGAAAGTTGAATTTCTTTTCAGGATTTTCAACCACACCCTTTGGCGTTGAAGGACACTTGACTAATGAGTGACCATTTTGGTGCCCTTAAGCTTGATTCGAAATGATGGTCATACGAAGTAAGTGTGGTCTATGGTTACATTTCTCAATGGGCAGAATTGACATTTGACGCGCCATCTGGGATGTATAGGTAGGATCTGCCTGACATGATATATTGCTTGTGGTAACCTCATGCCGAAGATTAGTCCACAGCGGCTTTGTTACAGTGTACAGTAATCAGTTTTCACTCTAGAGTAGACGAAGTACCATCTATTTACTATTATTTGCTCAAATGGTTCATCCTTGATAAAATGAACCTATGTTGGGTAACTTATCTACTCCGTACGATGTTAGCAGATAGTCAGCGCGGCGGGCCATCTCTTCCCTGCCCCATAATTACGAAGTAGATACTTTGAGAGGAGCATCCACTCCGTACTTCAAGTCAGTTGTCCCTGAACCTGCAGCCAACACACCCTCTGAAGAATATTTAACTATTACTCTGTTTAAGCTTCGGGATTCAAGGTAATTAGACTGATGACCTTGCATACTGCAGTACATTTCTATCGAGGTCAGGAGTCGATTTCAAGTCACATTCGCCGAGTCATCTGGCCGCATCCCGGTCACATTGACCCCCTGCATGGGCTGGCCTATGGCTCTTGAATAGTGTCGAAGGCTTGCCGATTGATTCAAAGAGGAATGGAACGATGAATCAAAGCGAATCACGTCGGCTTAACCTTGACTTTAATTTCCCCCATTCAGGACCAAAAATTCATGCCGATCAGCCAAACTATTCGAGAATTTGAGATGGATCAACCCCCTGATCGGAGTGCGCTCCCACCTCAGTGGCTGAAGGAAATACTACTCCGACTCAGTCACAAACATGGCATATCACACCGTGACACCGTATGCTCAATTTTTCTTCTAGATATTGATTGAATTGCTTCCTTTGAGACGTTCTTCCGCTAATCACTCATTATGACAGGGTTCAGACCATGTCAAATCGTCCACCCTTCCCTGTTCTTCAGCCGTCTCCTCGAGTCTTAAAATGAGATATTTCCCAATACGGCAATGTCATCCTCCACTTGTCCATGTTGACACCGCCTGTGGCGTTCGTTTTCTTTCTAGTCCTCCATCGCGTGCATGTCTGGTGTGGGAATTTAGGGTAAGCCCGCTGACGCCTAAACGAACATGAATGCTTTGGTTGGCTAGGGGGAGTATCCTGAAGACACATCCACTTCATTCCGAAGATGAAGCGGCTGAGTCTGAGCTATGTGCTCCATATGCAGTACGTTGCGTATAAGAATGCACAAATGCCCCGAATATTGTGATGAATGGCCCCTTCATCATTGTGCTCTCGCCAGTCTGGGTTGCTTCAGGCAAATTTCAAAATGCATGTCAATTGGCTTGCTGCTTCTATTTGGCTTTTTGCTAGCGTGCGCGCGCAGCTGCTGAGCAGCCCTGTTCGAAGCTATTCAGCTGCACCATCCTCGAGTGCTTCGGGAGTGATCAGCGCCTCCCCGACGGTTGCGGCGGCTGCTGAGTCTTCGGCAGCTGTACGGCACTCTTCTAATCTTGCTGCAGCTGCAGCCGTTGCTGATCCGGCATATTGGCTTGCGAACATCGCTCATCAGGGCATCGCGGCCTTTAATTCAAACCCTTCTACATACAAGGTCTTTCGCAATGTCAAGGACTACGGTGCTAAAGGTGCGTCCTCACGTAAAGAAACTGGCAGTCCCTGTTCTTATTGCAATTTCCAGGTGATGGTGTAACGGATGATACCGCTGCGATCAACGCTGCTATGAGCGATGGCGGTCGCTTCTCCCCAGCAAGTCGCAAGACTTCCACTACAACCCCTGCGATTATCTACTTCCCGGCCGGCACATATATAATCTCTTCATCGATCATTGATTACTACTTCACCCAGATTGTTGGCAACCCAAACTCGCTTCCAGTCATCAAAGCCACGCCAGGATTCACAGGACTAGGTCTGATAGACGGCGATCAATATCAGAGCGACGGTAACCAGGGTTGGATATCGACGAACGTATTCTTCAGGCAAATTCGCAATTTGATCCTTGATCTGACTGCCATACCCGCGGGCACTGCTGCAACCGGTATTCATTGGCCTACCGGCCAAGCTTCGAGCATTCAAAATGTTCAGATCTTGATGAGTTCTGGCGCCGGGACACAACATCAAGGTCTTTTCATCGAGAACGGTAAGCCATGAATCTATTCTCTGCGAAGCGAGGCACAGCTAAGTTTTTCCCGAAGGATCTGGCGGTTTTGCAACCGACGTCACCACCGTAGGCGGTTTGTATGGGTTCAACATCGGAAATCAGCAATTCACCATGCGCAATCTGCGCATTTCAGACGCAGTTGTTGGTATCTCCCAGATTTGGAACTGGGGCTGGACATACCAAGGACTCACTCTGACCAACTGCACTACGGCCTTTTCAATTGCCAACGGCGGTGCTGGAGCTCAACTGGTTGGATCGGCCATCGTACTTGACAGTACGATTCAGAACTGTCCTGTATTTGTTAACACAGCCTGGCAGAGCTCGAGCTCCAGCAATGGTAGCTTGATTCTTGAGAATGTGGCCCTCAACAACGTTCCCGTGGCTGTCAAGGGCCCAAGTGGCACAGTTCTTGCTGGATCAACGGGAGCCATGACCATCACTGCGTGGGGCCAGGGACACAAATATACTCCTTCCGGACCGACCAATTTTCAGGGTACAATCACTGCGCCAACAAGACCCAGCGCTCTACTGTCAAGTGGAACTTCGAGATATTACACGAAATCAAAGCCTCAGTATGAAGCATCCCCGACTTCTTCGTTCCTGAGTGTACGCAGTGCTGGAGCCAAGGGCGATGGCTCTACCGATGACACTGCCGCAATTCAAGCTGCTCTTACCGCAGCAGTGGCCTCAGGACGAATTGTCTACTTCGATCAGGGTGTGTACAAGGTGACAAGCACACTCTACATACCTCCTGGTTCGCGGATTGTAGGAGAAGCATATCCGGTCATCATGGCTAGCGGGAGTCTGTGGTCCAATATCAACCAGCCTGTGCCGGTGATCCGAGTTGGTAAGTCAGGCGAATCTGGAACCATCGAATGGTCAGATATGATCGT